CCCGTTACACTCGTTGTTTACTGGAACAGGAGCTTCCGGAACCTCTGATTGCTCAACCTCAATTGCTAAGAAATTACTGCATGAAGGATCTTGGGGGCGTCAATCAATTCGATGTGGACTACACCTTGCAGGAGCAATTAAACACTAGCACGAAGTGCAAGGGCACTCGTGATTCCTGAGATTCACGAAGTAGAATTATCAGATGGATTTACACGCACCAAGAGTGGGACATGCTTGGAGGCGTATACATGACTCATAGGTCAAGAGACACTCTTCTGATCCTAGAATCAAGTGATATTCACGATTCATGTAAGTGGGAATGGGACGCGCATCTATTCCTATGAAAGACAGAGACACCAATGAAGAAAGAAAAACTTTTTTCATTCCTGATCCTACCGCTGGTTGATGACAGTGCGGATCGTCTCAAGAAGATCCTCTGATGCGAAATACGAACAGCTGGAAACTTAAGGAGGTTTGCAAAGTTCAAGAATCAGTTAAACACGAAGAGAAGGAACAAGCTTCATCCTTGTAACGCGAGTACTGCTGACCTAATTCGATGTTACTTTTAGGAAAAGTTGTGCAGATGGACGACTACGAAGTAGAACTTCTCCCTGATGCTAAACCCTGTCATTGCCAGAAGGTTTATCCTATTCCACGGTGTTCTAGACTCAACACTCTTAGAAATGGAGTTTGAACGTCTCTCGCGAAGGCAGGAGTACTCAAGAAGGTAAACTCTTCTAAGATCCTTCCCGAAGTTGAGCGGCGGCACCAACTCTTTTCAACTCCCAATTCGCCCAAGAAAGATAGGTATGTGTCATCGAATCATCTCTGATTTCCAGGAACTGAAACAAAAGGATTACCAAGCGGGAAGCCCTTATCCTAGTCCCATTAAATACTGAGGACATCTCTTCGAACCAGACGGATTCACTTACGTCTACTAGTCTAGACCTGAACTATGGAATAACATATCACATCGAGCTGTCACCTCAGTCGAAGAACACTGCTGTACCATCGTACTCCCGTGGGGAAAGTACGACTACCAGAGGTGTGCAATGGTGTTCTATGATATTAGTCTCGCATACATCTCTCACAGAGTGAGGATGAAGGCAACCATGCAGACTAGGAATACGTCCGTGCGATACATGACTGATCTACCAATCCTAATAACGGGATCTAGCAGATGACTGTTGAGGAAGTTGGATGAAGTTCTCCGCAAGGATCATATCGAGAAGCCGGACTTAAACGATCAATGCTACACAAGTCTTTCTTCGCAAGAGGAGAACTTGAATACTTTAGGTTACTGGATTACTAGGATAAGGATCCAAACCTATAACTCAAAGAAAATAGACTGCGATCAAGAACATCGCTCCTCCTCACCAACAGGAAGGAACTCCCGTTAGATTCAGTTGAGACTAGATGACTTACATATCGAGACATTTGATTAGACGATCAAATGTACTGGCTCCACTCGCTTCTTGACTCCAAAACAACAAATTGGAAACTGGGAAGCGTGAGCCCACGAACAAGGCCTTTAGAATAGATGAAGAAGATCAGTCAGCAAAGAACCTTGCTCGCCTACCTTGACATCTCTCTCTTGTCACAAGAGACTCAGTCATGAGTCGAACTCAAACCCTATCTAGGATCGAGTCGCGAATAAGGCTAAGAGCCGTGTATTGCATTGTCTTGAGCCGACAGAGGGCGTTGGATGGCATCAATAGTGCTGTTGAGCAGCACATCAGGTTAGAAAAGAGAGGATGGTGCAGGAGTTGGCGACAAGGAGGTGGCAGAGGGAGGTGCAGAGGGTGGTGCAGTAGGCACCTTTTCTGCCATCACATCAATTGGGCTCTTGGCAGAAGCGTTCTTTTCAGACACAGTTGATGATATCACTGCAGTAAAGATAACTACAAGCAGAATCACCAACAGTCCAAACATGCCAAGTCGTTTTAGCTGTGCATCTCGTTCGCTCTTCTTTGCTTCCATTGCAGCATGGTCCACAGGAATTGCACCAGGTAAATTGCCTGCCTCAATATCATCGACTGGAACAGCTTCTGAAAGGCGTGGTTGCTCCTGGTTCGCAGCGCCTGTAGCAGCAGCGGTGGCGGTGGTATCCTCGGGAACATCTCTACCCAAGAGAGAAAAATCAACGGCATCCTGATGAACCTCTCTGGTACCTGGAAATGCAGCAAAAGCTCCAGGTTGGGTTTCGATTGCCCCTCCTCTTCCAAGAGTTGGAACTGCCATGTTTGTTATTTTTGGGGGTTCTTGGGGCTCTTGGTGCTCTTGGTTTACCAGGACCCCCACCTCGAGTTCATCAACATCAACCTCGCGTAAGTCAGGCTGACTGATTTTACTGGAAGCTGGCTGAGTGGCATCACCACCTTCTGTTGTGATAGCATCCGCTGGTCCATCAGCAGTGCTAAGCTTTTCTTGGGAGCCATTGGCAAAGGGAACCCCAACACATGTGGCGCCTGACGTGCCTGAAGTAAGAGTCGGCGCTCCTTTCTCAACTATGATGGAGAGCAACTCATCGGGGTTGTTACCGGTAGCATTAGACTGGTCATCTTTCTCGATGCCGAGGGCTCGTTCCTCCTTCATTGGCATCAGGGATGGAAAATCGAAATAGCACGTTGGAAGGGGCTCCAAGTTTATGCCTTTTGCCTCGACTCGGTTTACGGTGTGAAGCCAACACTTCTTGGGTGCACTGCACTCTGGTTAGGTGCGATACTGCGATACTGCTCATTCGAAAGAAGATGAGGAAGAGACGAAGGCCTAGGAGAATTAAACGCAATGTGAATGTCGAACAGACGAAGAAGAGACTATTTCCTTGTCAGGTGCAGTTCTGACGCAGATAATTTAAGGTAGTTAGGGTAGTAAGGGGATAAAAAACTTTACATAGAGTGATCTGGGCTTTAGGACCCACCGTTTCCCGGAATATTCTCTTCAGGGCTGTATATCGAATATAGTACATGTAAAGAGGGGAATCGATAGAACGCATGTTGCTGAGTAAGCCAAAAAATTCTCATCTTCATAGTGTACTTATTGGGGGAGTTATGGACGGTTGAAGATATCCACCCACTGACGGGCCAATTCTTTTCACCACATATTAAAACCGAATGATGTCACACGTAGACTCTAGTACTGAGTCTACGTAGGATCCTCCGTGACGTCACACGTAGCCTCTAGTACTGAGTCTAGCTAGCACCACAACTTTTCTCAGCACCTCCATGGCGCCCGGCACCGGAACCGAAGTACCAAAGCGCATCTATTGAAGCACAAGGGAAGCAACTCAACTAGCTAGTGTGGTTAGAGGTATCGAAGCAACACTCCTTCCTCTGTGCTCGTACCAGGTACCTCTATCAATTGTATCAACGCAGTGCAGTGTAGCTACCTCAATTGTGTGCCTACCGGTTCAGCATACTGTATCGACACTCGTTCCTCTATTGACAGCCAACACTCTTTGCAGCGAAGGGGGTTCATTCAACAAGGCTGGCTAGACTGGTACGACTGTACCGCAGAGAGATAAAGGATGCTACATGTACAGATACTTGTCACCCTCTGGTACACATACAGTGTACCAGGTAGTCTACCTTTTGGTAGTACTATAGAAATTACTGTACAATCCCAAGAATATTACGTGGGTCTTAATGCACTGCAGGTCTTAATACCCAGATCACTCTAATCAACATTGTTTACCCAAGAAAACTGTTTTTACCTTATCTACTGAACCTGTACTCTGCCACGCCGACTAAACAAGTGCGACAGTCGGCTGAGAAAGTCCGAGCGAACACCCCCGAACTGTGAACTGGCAATACGCACTACTATTCTCATAGTACCTGCACTTGCATGTACTGTACTAGCTAGTATGATACAAGTAAATACTCCAAGAAATCAGCTGTACCGGTACCCACCTACGCTCTACGAACCTCTGACATACTCAGAGTACTGTACACTGATAGTAGCTTTGCAGTATTGCCTTCTACTGCTTAATTAGTACTCTAGTACTCACAGTGCAACTGCCCACATCGTCAGCTTCTTGTGACTCGACTCAGTTCTGACTTATGACATACCAGTAGTAGACCTCTAGTTGGCCTCTGATGTCACTTGTTCAACTGCACTGCAACCGGTAGCTATGATACCTCGTACCGGTAGCTATGTATACCGGTACCGGTACCACATACCTCGTGTCACTGGCTATAGATATGCCATCTGTACTCGAGGCTATCACTAGCACACTTGTGCGGATTGTGTTGTTTGCTGCTGCCACCTGCCCATGGTACCGGTTCCCAACCATTCGATTGCTTCCTCTCATCAGGGGCGGCGAGCTGGTTAGGCTTCGGAGAATGCCTTCCCGAGTCAACAGATCCAAACTCGACTCGACTCTCTGGCCAATCAAGTGACAACAAGCAACCGAATTGATGGCTTTGCTCTTGGCTTCACCATGGTCATTCCTTGAACCGCTTCTGCCGAAAGATTTTGCATCTCAACTCAGACAAGAGAGGTAATCTTGTCAACGTTCATCAGTAATCCTTTAATGCGTTGGTTTCGATCGAACAAAGAGCGTAACGTGGCGTAGTACGAGGCGGGCTCATGGCAAAGGGAGACCGCACGAAGAGCTTTATGTGTGGAAATCACAGATCGATGATAGAGACATCCTTGCTTTTGCGACTACATAGCTAGCTAGCTGGCCAGTAGCTACTTTCACCAAGAATGCACAAATAGGTCAAGGCACAGGTACTGTATTCTCTGTGCCATCCTACCTGTAGGCAACTAAACAACCTCAACCAAAGAATCAAAGCCACAAGTAGAGCTAAAAAATGAGTGCAGCTTCATGAATTGAACTCCATGAGGAAAGGAGGGTTCGGTTGTACAATGAAGTACCGGTACTAGAAGATGCAATGGGAGAATCTCCCAGAGATGGCTAAGCCCAATGAAGTTGAAAACATGGTCAAACATGTCAATCTTAGAATCGGTGTACAGGAGCAGCCGCATGAAGTTGAGACCTAGGAGCAGGTACAATTGCAGGTGCATGTAACAGCTGTGCAGTTGATGTGTAATTCACGAAGACTGCCCTCCTCTTTCAACATGCAAACCTCCCCTGGAACAATGCCAGACAATTTGGTGTCATGAAGAGAGAGCAACTCCAGCCAGGACAATAAACCCAGCTCAGATGGAATGGAGCCAGAGATACCAGTGTTGTTGATGTGAAGATATCTCAAGCTACAACGGATAAAGCAGAATTGGTCAGAATGAAGAAGAACCATCAAATACTGCAAGAAAGAGAACTGCCATCAAAGATGCGCATACCTTGAGCAAAGAGAGATTTCAGTAGGGATGGTCCCTGATAGCTCTAGGTTGTTTGACAAACGTAAATCAGCCAGCCTTGTCAGGAAACCAACCTCACTGGAGACATTTCCAGAGAAGTAGTTCCCATCTAGCAGCAGTCTAGTCAATGTCCCATTGCTATTCTGCATTTTACCAAATGGGATTGATCCATAAAATTCATTGTTGCTCAGTGAGATGATCCTTAGCTGTGAAGAAATGTAATTCTGTTGGCTGGAGATCTGTCCAGTGAGTGCAAGGTTGTTGGCAAGAACAAGGGTGCGAAGCTTGGTGAGTGACCAGATGCCTTCTGGTATCTTTCCTGTTAGGAGGTTTTCGTCCAACTCAAGTGAATACATAGATTCAGCGACATTTTCATTGTCAAACCAGGACGTTGGTATAGATCCAGTGAACTGGTTGTATGACAAACGTATTTGTTCAAAGGGAGATATTGGATTGAGTGGGGGAAGAGGGCCCGTCAATTCATTGTCAGCCAAGGTAAGAATTCTCAAACCTGTCATATCAGCAAGAGAACTTGGAATGGACCCTGATAGTTTAGCCTCATCAATCTGAAGCTCGCTCAATCTGCTCAACTCTGCAACATCAGATGAGAGAGTTCCACTCAAGCTTGTCTTCTGCAACTTGAGAGTACACATTTTGGACAGTTCAAAAAGTTTTGTGGGTATGGTGCCATTGAGATGGCTATTCCGGGAAAGAGTTAGAGATTTCATCAATGAAAGGGATCCTATTTCTGATGGGATGGTTCCTGTGAGGTTCCCAGACAACATCAGTGTTTTGAGGTTTGAAAACTCATTGATTCTGCTGGGGATTGTCCCTGACAGGCCTGGCTCATTCAGTGAAAGCTCCTCAAGTGTATTGGAAGGCAAAATCTCAAAAAGTGAGTCTGGAATTGGTCCCGATATTTCGTTCTTTGCAAGCTTTACTGTGTGGAGCTTTGTTAGCTGCTTCATTTCAGGGATGACTGCTGCTGACATGGGATTATTGAATACAATCGAGCTCAGGGAAATCTCTTCAAGCTCTGGCAACAGAGCAATCTCTGGTGGCATTGAAGTGTGAGGTTTGTGCATGCTTCGGGGAAATTGCAAATTAAGCCTGGTGAAATTCCCCATACTGTTGCAAGTTGTTTCATTTGTCTTCCTTTCAGTCATGATATACTTCTGTTCCCCAAAATGGTACAACAAGCTACCATAAATACGAGAGTACCAGTCACACTCTGACTTGCCATAAGCCACGAAGTCTGTCCTGACAACATCCAACCAGTCTTCCCCATGAAAACTATAGAAGAAGGTTGCCAATGCAAATAGCTGCACCTTCCTCCACATTTCCATGGTTTTCACATCAGGGTGATCCAACAACCACAAAAAAGCCTTGCTTTGAGGTGACAGAGGGTTCAGCAAAGCTGAACTGGTGGTGGTGCTCAGAAGCATATCGTTTGGAATGAGAAATGTTGATGCAGGAGATGGTGACAAGGTTGTATGAGAGGGAGGGTCTGTTGGCACCTGGGTTGCTGGCACGTCGATTAGGTCATTGACAACAGTTTCCTTTCCAGACAAGGTTGAGGATAAAACAGTGGTGAGAGAAACCACGAGCAAAATCCCAAGAAGTCCCAAGAGGCCAAGTTTTTTTAGCTGCCAGTCTCTATTGAGTTTCTTAGCCTCTTCTGCAGCATGATCCACAGGAACGGCCCCGGGCAGATTGGCTGCCTCAATATCATCCACAGGAAAGGCTTCTGAAAGTCCATGCTGTTCCTGGTTGTTCCCAGCAATGGAGGAAGCATGGCTGCAATCACTAGCATTTTGTTCTCTGCCCATGAGAGAAAATTGAACAGCATCCTGTCGAACGTGTGAGCTTCCAGGGACAGAAGCAAAAGCTCCTGGTAGATGCTCAATATCCCCTCCTCTAGCAAGGCTTGAAGCTGCTGGGCTGGTTGCTTCTTGTATATCTTGAGTATCTTCACCAAGTTGTCTATCCACAACCATGGTTGGACCAATGTCATTTGCATCCTGCCCGTTGCCACAGGTGGATTGTGTGGTTTTCTTGCCATTGGAAGGCTGATCATTTGTCACCTTCTGTTTGGTGGAAGCTCTGCTGGATATAGTAGTGATGTTTCTGACTCTCATCTCAGAAGAGGGGATGCGTGGAGTGAGACCAATAGTTCCCTTCTCAACTAGAACGGAGAGCAGCTCACTCGAATGAGCTTCATCGTCTTTCTCGATGACAAGGCCACAAGCTTCAGTTTTCCCCTCCATTTGTGCGCTGCAGCTAAAAAAAGGGACTTGGACGTAATAGAGCACCGTGTAAAGGTTGATTCCGGCAATGTGGTTGGGTTGATTTGTGAACCTGATGGATAGAGAGGTATCCAAGGTTGCAACAGTCCTTCTTGGCGATGGTTGCCAGCCTACTGTAGAAGGGCTCTGCTATCGCCCTGCTACCAACCTACAGTGGGACGTTGTGGCTAGCACTAGCTACCGTACTCTAGCTAGGTGCTCCAGCCAAACGGCAGCTTCTGCGTTCATACAGAAAGAAGTGATGACGAGCAACAAAAGAAAAAGAATCTACCTACTCTGAACCCCCTTTTTCATCATCCTTCTAATGTACATTGATTATTTATTTGAAGGTAACACAAACTCTCTCTTCAAGTGACGGTTGCGTTCTTCAACCCGGCGTTCTCAGGCTACGAAGGCCGAGTATGGGAACTCAATCCTCGAACCAGAATCAACCCCGACTGCATGGCAGTCACTGGGCTTTACAGCTATAGCTGGCTGGCTGGCTAGCTACGGTAGCTTGCAGGAGTTGGAAGTGGAGAATCCTCTCGTACTCAATTATTAAGAAGCCTTCCTGCCATGAAGCTCTCGTTTAGGTTTAGTTGATAGGTTGTAGAATGATGAATCCAAGGAAAAGAAGTGGTGCCAGGACGTGGCGATGATATATATCATTTGTTGGCAATCAGATCCTGCGGTTGTGGCAATCAGAACGAAGATTTTAAAGTCTATTTTCACAGCCACTTACTTTGAGCTTTTAAAAAAGCCGTGCTAGCATACCTTGCGGAGGAGCCATAGGTCTACAAGCGCCAGCCTACAGTTCCGGATATTGAACAAGATACGACGGATTGAGTTAACAGGTGTTGAAGCGATGGGAGTCAACAAGCCCACAAGAACGCCGGCAACTGCATCTCCGACAGTAAGCGATTCCAGCTCATGCAACTCACCCATTAGCTCTATACATCATTACTGCAGACATCTACAACAAGAGAAGCCCTCCGAGTGGCTCCTAGCTATAGCGGCCCCTAGTACCCTAAGGCGAAACGGTGGAATTTGCCGAATCCGCACAAGTCACCGAAACGACCGTTCGTTCAAGACACGACGACTGATCAGCGCGAATTTATGATACGGATAGACGACAGAATCGAATCAAGCTCAGAGGACTGAGCGAATCGAACCGCAAGAGTGCGCCCACCAAGTCCAAGGTCCAACAAGTAGGAGCCTAAAGTTCCAAGGAACAAGCGAATAGAACGCCAAGGCGATTATGCATACCGGTAGCTACAAGGACCAAGCCAAAGCGTCCGGCCACAAGAACAAATACCGACCAAGCGGAGGAACAAAAGCCGACATAAGAACAAGGAGAGTACGAGCAAGCTCGGAGAAGTGAGCAGACACCACCACCAAACGCAGCGTTCCAAGAAACCAACCAAGACCAAGTCCACAGTAAGACGGAATATTCCACCAGAACAAGAAAGCGAACGAGCGATCGCGGAGGTAGTAAGCTGCGACGACGAAGATCCAACAAGAAACCGAGGCAACTATACGGAGACGAACCGCGCAAGCCAACAGGAGTGACGCAAACGACGCGTCCAACAATCGGCAACGGACGCACAAGGCTCACAGGAGTGAGCAGCAAGACCACGAAAAGTCATCGAAGCCTATTACTACTGCACGGAGACGAACAAGCCAACTACGATCAACACCACAAGTACCGGTAGAGGTGTTGACACGGAAGAGGAACGAGATAACAAGTTCCAACAGGAATACCATGGAGGTACTTCCGTGGGAGTTTCTACAGCCTCCTATACCGGTACCGGTACCAGTACCGGTACAAGCCATCGAGCCAGTGTTATTCTTAGAAGAGTGGTGCGACGGACGAACAAGCCCAGTTACCAGGTCGGTTACTCGACGACGAGAGGAGCTGCAAGGACTCCACCACACAGGGACCTGGTTGGCTAGAGGGGGGGATGGGGATGTGAGGAGCAAAAGGATGAAGTAGAGGGGACGTCGGGAGGGAGTAAGAGGGGGGCAAGATAAGCCGAAGAGGGCAAGTGCACCATCTGCATCCAAAAGAGAATGGCGGTAGCTTATTGTGCCATCGGGGACACCAGAGCCACACATGCAGAGGTGACGGTCCCGAATAATAGCAAGGCTGGGCTTAGAATTAACGTAGCGACGCACGTAAGGGCGTTCCCATGTTGCAGCGAGCAAAGAGGAAATATGTTTGGCGAGTGCCTCAGCTTCGGCCCAAAGGAGACAATCAGCAAAGCCAAACCCTTTGGCCCCCGTAATGGCCCTCAATTTCTCGCCCCTGCTCATCCCACGGAATGTCCACTCTTCTTTGCTTCTTAAGCCTGGCCCCGGCTGGATTCCGTAGACAATTGAGGCTGCCGAAGGCATGAGCCCTCAACGAGTTTGAAATGGAATCATTGGGCCGGTTGCTTGGCTACAATGTGTAACTAGCTAGCTAGTACTGCCACCGCGGCTAGCTCTAGTAGATATATAGAGCCTGTTTCTAGCTAGGTAATAAACAGTTGGCTGCTTGGGTAGCCAAGATATTAGGCTCTCCTAGCTGGCTAGCTAAATAATGAACAGTTAGCTGCTTGGGAGCTACGGTAACTATTAATAGCAGCTACTCCATCTAGCTAGCCAGCCATCTGCAGGCTACTTTTATAGGGTTAGGGCTAAAAACTGTGACAGACAAACGGACAAACGGACAAACATACAAATAAAATTCACAAGGGCCCTACATCCGTTGAGGGCTATCTACCTACTCTAAACCCCCGTTGAATCAGGGGAGGGTGTCAGGCGACTTACAGTCTGTCGGTTGTCAGTTAGGTAGCCTGAGGGGATTCTTTTCTCTCACCCTTTTATATCCTAGTACTTTGTCGTATCAAGTTGCTAGTTTTAGAGTCTTCCGACATTACTACCACACCAGCACCTCTTGCTTTTGCTTTTGCTACAATGGCTAATATGTGCAGAATGATCAACATGAATTAATGAAGTAAAGTAAAATGAATGCCAGAGGCAGACAAATCCACCAGCCAAAGATCACATCCTGGCATGTTGGATACCTAGCTACCCTAGGAGCAGGTACAATTGCAGGCGCATGTGATTGCTGTGCAGTTGACATGAATCTCAACTAGCCTGCCCTCCTCCTTGAGCATGCAGACATCCATTGGCACACTGCCAGACAGGTTGGTGCCATGAAGAGAGTGATACTGCAACCGAGTCAACAAACCCAGCTCAGATGGAATGGAGCCAGAGATACCAGTGTTGTCCATTTGAAGACTATTCAAGCTGCAATGGAGAAGGATAACCGTGAGCAGGAGCACAATTAGAAAAACACCAAACAAACATCAAATGTGTGCATACCTTGCGCAAAGAGAGATTTCAGTAGGGATTGTCCCTGTTAGCTCTAGGTTCCTTGATAGTCGCATATCTGTCATTCTTGTAAAGGAACCAATATCACTCGAGAGAGTTCCAGAGAAGGAGTTCCCATCTAGAAGCATGCTCCTCAATCGGCCACTGCTGTTCTTCATTGGACCAAATGGGATTGTTCCATAGAAGCCATTGTTGCTCACAGCAAGGAAACTAAGCTCTGAAAAAGAGGCATTCGGATGGACAAAGATCTGTCCAGAGAGGCCAGCATTGTTGGCTAGATTCTTGAGGGTTTCGAGATTGGTGTGTGACCAGATACTTTCTGGCACAATTCCACTGAGCTGATTATCATTCAGTTCCAGAAATTTCAAAGAAGGGGGCAACCAGGATGCAGGTATGGGACCAGTGACTTGTGTTTCTGACACAAACATTCGCTCAAGTGGTGCCATTTGGCTTATCAGGGGAAGGGTGCCAACAAGGTTGTTGCCCTTCAAAGAACAAATCTGCAAATTCTCCAGCTCAGAAATGGAAGAAGGAATGGTTCCGGATAGTTGTGCATCAATCTGCAAATCAGTCAGTCTTTTCCACTGTCCAACCGAAGTAGCTAAAGTTCCAGAAATGTTGGTGTTGACTAAACTGAAGCGCTCCAGTGTGGCGAGATTGAAAACTTCTGATGGAATAGTGTCTTGGAGTAGTTCATTCCCTGAAAAACTGAGACTCGTCAGCAAGGACAGCAATCCAATCTCTGAGGGGATGGTACCTGTGAAATTCCCAGACATTTCCAGTGTTTGAAGGTTGGGAAACTCCTGGATTCTACTGGGAATTGTCCCAGAGAGGTCTGGCTCAATCAAAGAAAGCTCCTCCAGTGTACTGGAAGGCAAAATGTCAAAAAGTGAATCTGGAATCGTCCCTGTAATTTTGTTGTTGCTAAGCTTCATCCTGCGAAGGTTTGTGAGCTGCTTCATTTCAGGAATGATGGCTGCTTCAAGGGGGGCATTGAATCCAATCATCCTCAAGTAGATGTCTTCCATTTCTGGCAAAAGCGCAATCTCAGGAGGCATTGAACTTTCCATTTTGCTTGCAATTTCAGGGAAAAGTAACCTGAGCTTGGTGAAGTTGCTCATATTGTTGCACGTGGTTTCACTTGTTTCCTTTTCAACAAACACAAACTTTTGCTCCCACATATTGTACAACAAATTCCCGTACACACCAGAGTACCAATCACATTCTGATTTGTTATGAACTAGGAAGTCACTCTTCACAACATCCACCCAGTCTTCCCCATGAAAACTGTAGAAGAAGGTTGCCAATGCAAACAGCTGGACCTTTCTCCACTCTGACATGTTGTCTGCATGAGGGTGCTTCAGCAACCACTTATGAGCCTTGTCTTGAGGTGATAGAGGATGTTGGATGGCATCAATGGTGGTGTTGAGCAGCATATCAGAAGAGATAAGAGAGGATGGTGCAGGAGTTGGCGACAAGGAGGCAGCAATGGGAGGTGCAGTAGGCACCTTTGTTGCCATCACATGAATTGGGCTTTTGGCAGAAGCGTTCTTTTCAGACACAGTTGATGATATCACTGCAGTAAAGATAACTACAAGCAGAATCACCAACAGTCCAAACATGCCAAGTCGTTTTAGCTGTGCATCTCGTTCGCTCTTCTTTGCTTCCATTGCAGCATGGTCCACAGGAATTGCACCGGGTAAATTGCCTGCCTCAATATCATCCACTGGAACAGCTTCTGAAAGGCGTGGTTGCTCCTGGTTCACACTGCCTGCAGCGACAGCGGTGGCAGTCGTATCTACAGAAACATCTCTACCCAAGAGAGAAAACTCAATGGCATCCTGACGAACCTCTCTGGTACCTGGACATGCAGTAAAAGCTCCAGGTTGAGATTCAATGGCCCCTCCTCTTGCAAGACTAGGAGCTGCTATGTTTGTTGCTTCCTGGGGTTCTTGAATCTCCAGGACACCCACCTGGAGCTCATCAACATTAACCTCGCGTGAGTCAGACTGACTGGTGTCACCGTAGGCTGGCTGAGCGGCATCACAACGTTTTGTGGTTACAGCATCCCATGGTCGATCAGCAGTGCAAATCTGTTCTTTTGAGTCATCGGCAAAGGGAACCTCGACACATGTGGTGCCTGACGTGCCGGACGCGCCTGATGTGAGAGTCACTGCTCCTTTCTCAACTAGAATGGAGAGCAACTCGTTGGCGTTGTTAGAATGAGACTGGTCATCTTTCTCAATGAAGAGGGCACAGGCTGCTCGTTCCTCCTTCGTTGGCACCTCCAGGCAGGGATGGATAATGGCAAAACGCAAAGGTTGACGGCGACGGACAAGACTTTGTGAGCGTTTTCATGACTCCGACCATCGTGCTGTAGATGGATGCGAGGCCAAGTTGCCGTTTCGGGTAAATTTGAGAGAAGCTCGGAGAATTTCTAAGGTGCGACGCCCACTTTTTTGCAGAGAGGAGTGGTTGTGGAATAGCTTCACATTGACGAAGAAGAGACCTTACTTCCTTGGTCGTGGAGTTGGCCCAATAGGCATTTGCCTTCACTCCCCCAGGCCAGCGTTCCCAGCCGCAAAGGTGAAGAATGCGAACTCATCCTCGAACATACTGTCCCTACCGGTACCGGTGGTACCAGGTACCGCTCTGCTGAGGCCTGACGCCGACCTGCATTCTGGGACTACTGCTACTCAGTAGAGCAGCTTGGAAGTGTATAATCGAAATTTTCCGTATTCTGAGGTTTTGTTCAGAGGTTGCAGAATGATGAATCGAAGGAAAAGAAGTGGTGCCAAGGACGTGATGATACTATCATTTGCCTCCAGTTGTGGCAATCAGAGCGAAGGCAATAGTATTCTGGAGGTCCACAAGCGCAGACATCCTTGCTTCTTGTGGGAGGAACTGAAACGGTGTTTAAACAAGTTATCTCAACCTCTATGGGCTGCCGACTGGAGAACTGGCGACAATTGAATGGGCTGCCGACTGGAGAACTGGTTACAATTGAAAGCCAAAACCATTCGAGGGAGGAGAGACTTCGGTCTGCGTGGTTCGGTTTCTATCGATTTGAAGAAGATGGTCAACTCAACTACACGTAAACTTCGTCGCTGGTTTCAACGATGTCCCCTTTCTCGTCAGTCCAGCAGTTGACCAGGTCCTTCTTGAAAGGTTCCGGGTCATACACATTGGGGCTCTTGTATGTACCGTTGGACACGCTCTTTGAAATGCTCTTGCGACTGTCCAGCTTCGTTCCGGCTTCCGAAAGTGGATCGATGGCGCTCTCTCTGTCCATGAGGTGAAAAATTCTTGCAGCGCTCTTTTCGACTTCCTTTCTGTCTGCAAGATCCTGAAATGCCGAGCCCAAGCCAAACATGCCGAAGAGGAGCGCAAAGTTGGAGATCAAGAAGTCTTCCAATATGTAGCTTGATGGGTAATTCACTAAGAGCCAACCACCCCACCAAAACTGCAGCGCATTGATCCACTGTTGGATGAACATGGACAACCCACTAACAAAGCCACTTTGGAAGCTCGTCCAGACGTAGTTGGGGTTGGAGTTTTCCAGGGCAATCTTGTACTTCTCAAAACGGGGTTTCTCGAGAGTCAACGCCGCGACAGTTCTCATATTCAACAAAGTTTCGACCACGATGCCTCCAGGGCTGTTCTCTTGGTCATCCCCGTCTCCTGTTCCTTCATCTTCTCCAAGCACTTTTTTCATTTCCATCGATGACCCAAACGCCATCAGAGGGATACAGAACAGAGCCAAAAGAGCAAAAGGCCACATGTACTGCGAGAACGGATTGTGTCAGCAACTTGGAACGGCCACATAGATCGCACCACCGCCGCGTCAACGTACCACAAACGAGAGGACAAGACCAGTAACGACAGAGGCAAGGGCAAGCAGAGCTGACCTGATTGGCACCCCTGAGAAAGCATGGATACGGGCTGCATCATCTTGAAGTTCGGAAGTGATCTTGCCCACGCTTCTCTTGTCAAAGAATGCAATCTCTTGGCGACACAGCGCGGTAAAGGCATCGTTTCGGACTCGCTTACTGAGTCTTTCGCTTGCACGCCCGAATCCAACGAACATAAGCGTGAACCCAATTAAGCAGTTTAGCAAAAGTGCTCCCCACATTGCTCCCACCTCGAACGACCTCTGTTGCATGTCATCTGCGAAATCTACGGATGCCGAATCAACAATTGTTCGGTAAGAAGTCGTTCTGTTTTTGAGCTGGCTTCGACGACCACAATTTGTACTTACCAGTCCAGTAGTCCTCGCAGGTCAAGTAACCCGCGGTGACGTTGCCGCTAAACGGGTCGGGGCATGCCTCAACTCTTCTGAAAAGTAAATCAATAGTCTCTGTGACCAAATGGAAAGTTTCGCAAAGGTTAGCATGTGCGAGAAATGGGGGGAGCACTAGCTAGTGCTGAAACCAAACCAATATATGACTCACGCGCGAAGAGGATACCCCAAATCTGCAATGGTTGCGGCGTCGAATCGAATGTTTGGTGAGGCAAATTGGAGCCAAAGCGAGCCACCTTTGAGCGTTTACAAGTAGACCTACCGGGAAAACACCCCCAGCCATGACGGCACCAACGGATCCTGGAGAACATCAATGAAAGCAGGTCAGTCATGCTAAACAGCGACCGCTTTGATACCAGAAACACACAATAACCCACCAAGCGCCATATAGGCTGCATCGGGAGATGCGAGTTCTCGGGCTCTCTTAGAATCGAAAGACTTGATTTCTTCCGCTTCGTCTTCGGTCTTGGTTACTTCCTCCTCCTCTTCTTCTTCTATTGTATCGTCCTTCTTTTGCTTGGCCAAGAGAGCTTCAAGAGTTGCACCGCGCTTTTGCGATTCCACGAGCCTCTTGTACCGCCCATGCTTTTTCTGCAGAAGTTCGGCTGGAGTACCGTACTCAAGGACCTTGCCTTCTGCAATGAATGCAATCTTGTCGGCATTTGCAATTGTAGATAGCCTGCAGACGCACCAAGTAGGTTAGAACGAAAAGATGGCACTAAACAGACTCCATTTGCAACCGTTTTTCAACTGCACTTGCCTGTGTGCAATTACCAACGTGGTGTGCTCGCGAGACTGCATGAGCTTATCCAATGCCGCCTGTACGATGGTCTCTGACTCGCTATCCAGAGCTGCACAGTTGAATAACACGCTGAGTGAGATTGGAACGTCGACTGGAGGTAGGCCGAAGGACACATCACTACCTACCACTCGTGGCCTCGTCAAGAATCAGTACCTGAAAACCACAAAGAAGAAAGCAACGTGGGTACTTCTGTTTTTCGGTTCCATACGACGTCGATTCTATCACTGCAAGCGTACCTTGGGTTTCTTGACCAGGGCACGGGCAATTGCAACCTAAATAAACGAGCACGAGTTGTCAGACAAGCCGATCACCTTGGTAACGAATGAATGAAAAGTAACCACTACACCGTACTCTCTGTTTTTGCCCTGTGTCAAAGAGATCAGACGATATAAGTAACACAGTCAAACAAGAAATACAAAAAGTTCAGCCCGACAGCCAACGTACCGCCGGAGAGCTGTCCGCCCCGTTCGCCGACTACGAGTCGAAGTTGAAAGAAAGGAGAAAATTGAGACAACCGCGAATGCAGACAGATCTGTTCCGAAGAAACTCAAGGACAAGCAATCCTACCTGACGTGTCGTATCCCTCTGGGAAACTCTTGATGAAATTGTGTGCATTGGCTTGGCGGGCTGCCTCTTCAATCTCTTTCTGAGATACAGATGGGCTCCCATAAGCAATATTCTTTGCAATTGTCTCGTTGAATAGTGTTGGTTCCTGTCCCACGAAACCAATCTGATCTCTGTACCAGGTTATGTTCAACAACTTGAGATCCGTTCCAAGATACTCAACAGAGCCTTCCGAAGGATCGTAGAATCTTTCAATCATTTGCACCGTTGTCGACTTTCCGCCGCCACTATTGTCGTATCAAATCGAATCGAAATGTTCAAGTTGTATCATCGGTCAGACCACGCAATTGCCTTGACTAGCACGCATGTGCAGCGTGCGTGTTTCGTTTGTTTGTTTGTGGTTACGTACCTTGGGCCCACCAGCGCCACAGTTTCACCTCGATGAATAGCCAAATCGAAACCCGCAAAGATTTTCTTATTGGGTCGAGTTGGGTACGCAAACTGCACCCCCTTGAACTCGAGCACGGGGGCACCCATGGGCTTATTGATTGATTCTCCATTCATGTTGTTGCCATTGGTGTTCTGGTCATCAGCATCCATCTCTGCCAAGCTATTGGACGAACTATTTCGTGACGATGCCAAGGATGATCCTCGATCGGGTCCTTCTTGTTTTTCCACCAAGTTTCGGTAGTATCCCGTTTCAGCCAACATGAGTTCTTCGTGTGTTCCAGTTTCGACGATGCGTCCCTTGACAATGACAGCAATAATATCGGCATTGCGGATTGTGGACAAACGATGGGCAATGACGACGGTTGTCAAATTTCGATGCGAGAGAACATTGTCAAGTGCATCCTGGACGACCAGTTCACTCTCTGAATCCAACGCAGAAGTTGCCTCATCGAGTAGCTATTTCCATAGATGAACAGAAGATGGACAAGCATGAGTAATGTGAATCGAATCCGGATGATTTTTATTTTTTGAAACCAACCAGCGCAGTGCGTGTCAGTGACTGTTGCCTTGCTTACCAGAATGGAAGGATTGCCCACCAAGACACGAGCAATGGCAATGCGCTGTTTCTGTCCTCCCGAGAGCTGCGATCCCTTGTCTCCCACGTGTGTGTCATATCCTTGCGGAAAACTGGAAATGAAATCGTGTGCATTGGCCATTCTTGCTGCCGCTTCAATTTGTTCTTGCGTGGCAGATGGATTTCCATAGGCAATATTCTTGCCGACAGTATCATTGAATAGTGTTGGTTCCTGTCCCACATATCCAATAAGAGATCTCAAATGATGCACATTGATGTCTTTAATGTTGGTTCCATCGATTTCGACACTGCCCGAAGTGGGATCGTAGAATCGTTCCAACATGGAGACAATGGTCTGTGATGCGATCGGCAAGTAAGTAAGCAAGCAAGCAAGCAAGCAAGCAAGCAAGGCAAGTGAAGAAAGTGGCATTTGTTTAGAAACATAATATCCATCATTTTTGGGGTTGTTGCTGCTTCATTCATTTTGACGTACCGACTTGCCTCCGCCACTACAGAACGAAAAAAGTCACGAAAAATCAAAAAGGTTAGTCATTGGTTGTCTTCCACTCCAAAATACTAACTGATTTAAGTCAATCTTTCGTGATTTGCTTTTGAAGTAACTCGACTCACCTGGGTCCAACGAGGGCAATGGTTTTTCCCGCCGGCACCGATACGGACAAGCCATTGAGAATGGGTTGATGAGGGCGAGTCCTGTAGAACAAAGCAAGAATACATAAATAGTTGTGTGAGTCAAAAAATGTAGCAGTCATTCTGTTGTTGGGTGTTGTTGAAAGGATAATCTTACGGATAGTGAAAGCGAATATCCTTGAACTCGAGTCGTCCTTGGACATTGGTGGGCTTGGCTCCCCCTTCTCCAAAAGAATCAATTTCGTACTTTGGAAGCACAGCCTTGATGCGTGGATCAAAGTCTTTTGTATTTTTGAAATTCTCGGAGGAATGATTGGTGATGGATCGAGTGGATTTGGTGGTTTCGGCTTCTATTTCTTCGTCTGTTTTGTAGACGGTTTCGGAAGGAGTGCCGGGTTTGCGATTGATAGCGAGGAGTGCCGAATAAGCCGCCGTTCGAGCCTCGGTAAAGGCTTCGGTACAATTTCCAACCTGTGAAATTCCCTGAGCGGCAAACATAATGCCCAACATGGCTCCAAAAACGTCGGATCCAGCATTGGAACAAGTTTGATTGCCAAGGACACCTCCTGACGGATCACATCCCGTGTCGGCAATGTCCGAGTAGAGCAGATAGGATCCAAAGAGTACGAGAATTCCGTATAAGACCATGAAACTTCCGAGCATTCCTCCATTGGCCAGTCCTTCCTTGAATACAACCTGTACGGCCTGATCAAAGGCATCCTGTGTGGCCAACGTGTATTGACGAATCATTTCTGGCACAGCATTGAGTGCCAATACAGTTCGAATTTCCGAGACGGTCGTGTAGGCGACCGAAGCGGCTCTTCCATAGTACTTGGCGGCTCGAGCACTGCGCGTTTGATTGAGCGTGACGACCGAGAGTGCCATCATGGAGACGACGGGCAAGAATGCGAGTACGAGCAACGCGACTTTCCAACTCGAGTAGAATCCATACGCAAAGCCGCCCACTCCAGTGGTAAAGAATTGAATGCCATCACCGAGTTTCCGTCCAATGCCACGTTGGTACTTGATCGCCGCAGGACCCAACGAGGACGCAATGCCACTGACATCGTGGAGATCAAAAAAGGCAGAGTCTTGTCGTAGGAGAGACGAAAACCATTGCAATCGCAGAGACTGAGTCGCATGATGCGCCGCACACTCCAAAAAGAATGTCTGACAGGCAGCGGCCACCAAGGCAACGACTCCCACTACCAGAAACTTGTAGGCAATGTCACGAATTCCTGCCAATGCGTTGTCCTCGGTTGCGGCAGAAATGTTCACAAACGAAGAACTGAACAAATACGCCAGCGCAGGATACACCAGTCCATTGCACATGCCGCCCAGTACACCCAATAGAAACAACACCGTCACATTTGGGCCACACGCAAACACAAAACTCAACGTCTCACTGGCGCTAGCGCTCGGTTTCGGAGTCTTCTTCTTCTTCTTCTTGTCGTCCTCAGTAGTAGAGGCAACCGTAGTAGTAGTCGTCGTCATCGTCAAGTAGTCAAGCCACTCAAAGTAGTAATAAGCAAGTGACACCAATCTATCGCGAGTAAAAGTTTTGGAAGAAATGAATGAAAGGTGCTCGGCGAAGAAGGACGAAGGACGAAGGAAAGATCAGTGAGTCACTTTTGGCCTGTGCGTTTGCTGTCACACAAAAGAGTGCTCGTGGAGGTTCGGTCTGCAGAGCTCGTACGTATCTTTACGTAGTGAACAGTACAAAAGAGTACTGGTCGACAAAAATGACGGATCACACTGGAGCTTCAGTACGACTGCAGAAACCCGCACTTAGAGTTCTAAGATCTGGAGAACTTCCTATGGAAAGTCACGAGTTAAGTATTTAAGTCGTGAGAAGCTTCCTGGGAAGCATTGTTTGGCTCTGCAGCTGGAGCGATTGATCTCAACACACCCAAACGCAAGTGCGTACGTCGTGCTTCGACGTCAGTTGTTAGACTTTTGTTTTACAGCTCTCCTGACTTCCACACTTTCTCTGTGGGCGGTGGATGGTCTTGGGGCAGATCAGTTCTTGTTGCACCAAGCTACATGCAGTACAGTACCGGTACAGTACCAGGTACAGCTGTACTGTACCAGGTGACTCCTGTTCATGAGTCAATTCCTGTAACCCCGCATTTCAGTTCCCTTGCCACGGGACAGTCAGGAAGGCAGCCGATTTAAGAGATCGCTGAAAGTCGTTCCTATTCGCGCTGCGCGACTTAGCGCGAGTTTCCCGCGATTCGCGCAGCGCGAATGGCACAAATGGTGCGACTTTACCGCGACTTAGCGCGACTTACATTGGCTTTCTTACTGTAAATGCTAGTATTTGCTATTCGCGCAGCGCGACTTAGCGCGAATCAAGAACGACTTTTGGATTCGTACAGCGCGACTTAGCGCGAATCGCGAACGACTTAGCGCGACTTGCGGGAGTGCGTATTTTTAGCGATGGCCTATTCGGCTGCCTTCCAGGGGAAGCTCAGTGTGATTGCTGGCGGGTTACCATAATACACCTCCTTTCCAAAGTTCCATCCAGTTTCAGGATGCCAGCTTGTCACTGATCCTCCTGGACGCAGCACCAAGCCTAAGCCCAACCCCAGGACCTCCCCTGGGCCATCTCCGGGATGCACTCATGGTTCATTGTTAGTATGTTAGGCCAACACCAGGATCTACTAATGCTGGGTCAACTCCAGGGACAGCACAAGGACCAACTCCAAGCCCCACACCTCTCCATCTCACATTCATCTGCTGGCAGCAGGTACAAGTGCTCTCAAAGAAACTAACTAAAGCAAGCAATGAAGGGCCTGAAAACACAATCAACAAGTCAACTATCACTTTACGCAAATCGATTCGATAGTATTGGAATGCAAATGGGGGCACTGTCATTGAGACCGTAGCAAACTGAAAAGAAAGAAATGTGTCGTTGGACATTGACGTTCGGATCTGTTTAGAACCATGACTCGACTCGACTCTCTAGATCGAATTGGTTTCCAGCAAATGCACCATAATCAGCTGCATTCCAGATCGCCTTTGCGCCGCTGTCGAGTCGTCCATGCCGGAACTCGGTGGCGCCATGTGGTTGCTGCAGATGCGGGCCAACTTGGCTGCCGTCAGACGATTCCTTTCCCGATAAACGAGGGCCTCACGAAAGAATGAAATGACATAGAGAAGAACATTGTAATGAACCGGTGGAAGCTCTTCCAAGAATCGTCGTGCCGAAGATTGAATGTTCTGGGAATCAATCTCCAACGTTGGGAACAGCGTTGGTGGCACGATGGGAATAGAGAGACTGGAGAAGAACTCGAGAAGAGCTTCGGCATAGGAAAGCGTTTTGTACTGTCCGAATGGAGCTCCCGTGTCCTGCAAGTGGAAACGAGTTAGACAATCAAGTAAAAGTCAGCATTAACCAGAAAAATCATGCACGGATTGGCCAATAGTCGGTCAACAAAAACTGAACCTACCAAGCATTCTCGAATCTTTTTAACGTCTTCTGGATCCCCTGGATCGACAAACAGATCTGGTTCTTGCAATCCCTTTTCAAAGATCGCATCAATCAGTCTCCAAAGTTCCTTGGGGACACAGAGAGCATTGGACGGATTGGGGTCGTACTTTTCGGCCCGTTTGATGGGATCGAGCGGTACATTTCGAATGGGATCGGAATACATGACAAGCTCATCGACGGACATTCCAAAGCAAGAACGAGCATATGCAGCCTTGATGGTAATGTAGTAATCCCGTCCGTTTTCCAAACGAAGAATCAAAATGTCATCGAGGACTTCTCGTCCTTGATTGAGAAGTTGTGCCGTGTGTCGATCCACTGTGATTGTCACGTTGATAGTCGCAGGTTGATCTCCGGGGATGATGAGTCCGTAGGGTGGTTCGACCTTGATCCAGGGTTTGCACAGCGTGTTCTGGTGTCGTTGCGATTATTTGCGGTCAAATCAAACAAAAGCAAAAAGTGGTGAGTGAGTATCGCGCGAAAAATCAAGCTCGGTGTCTTTTTGCAACTAACTTACCTCATCCAACTTGGGCACAAAGCGGTACTTGGCCACGACATTGCCAGTATTGGTGATTTGAATGGGCATGCTCTTGGACCGATCGTAATGAATTTCTCCAAAATCCAGATTGACACGATCCAACCCGACCATGGGCAGTGTCTGATTCTCGAATCGATCCAGCAACTTCATGAGTTCGTTGTGAATGGCCGCTCGTTTGGGCCTCACGACATCCTTGATGGTAATCTTCATGGTGGAATACACCGCCTTGTGGTCCGACACGTTGGGTTGTTCGGAGCGATTGTAGGTGAGTTGCTGTACATGTGCCGGCTCCAGTGCCATCCACAAGATGCGATCACACCATGCCGGTGCCCTCAATTTCTTTTCGGGTCGTTTGTCGTATCCGTCCGTACCAGGTTGGTACTTGTACGTGGGTGGGAATTGAATGACACCTTCTTCGAATCCCTCAAATGCTCGTCCATGGGCACGTTCGACGTTGAGTTGATCCAATTTGCGCATTTCAGCGAATTTGCCCGTTTCGGCATACTCGAGCACCTTATCGGTGGGCATGGATTCGTCAATACGATAATTCAAATCGCCCAACCAGAAAATGAGGTCGTGATCAATGACATTGACGGATGTGGCACCAATTTCCCAATGGGACATGCTCCCCGAGTAGATGGCTTCTCGAGTGGCTTCTTCCCCAATTTCAAAGAGGGACTTGTTGAAAACGTTGGCAAAATCTTGATTGCGTCCCGTGACATTTTCACGATGAGCTGCCAAGTGGGTACAAAGAAAACAGAGTGTAGAATCGTAGAATTGAACACGAACAGCGACGCCACCCTTGTTCCCCAACATGCCCATGACACCCACTCCTACAGCGGTGGAATTGATGTAGCGAACACGATCCTTATGAGGTGCCTTGCAAAAGACACAGACAAGAAGCCCGACCATGCTTTTCTGTTGCAACAAAAAGTATTGTCGATTGGGATCGTTGCGTGTATTGTGGGGCGAATTAAGTGTTGCCATGAGTCGTTCGACCCAAAACTGGGAGCGTTGTTGTGTCTTGTTATCGACTGCGACATTGACGGCATTGAGATCGACAATTTCTTGAAAACCCACAGCCACGAGATCTGGAGCATATTCTCCATTGGGCTGGTTCGATTCATATAGTCAGTGTTGTGCAAAAATGATCATTAGACGATGGATCCATCTGAGAAAGCAATCAGCAACGGCTAGTAGCTAGCCAACCATAATAGGTAGCTAGATAGCTAGTAGACACTTACCCCCCAATCAGCACAGATCCAAGAGTCTAGAGATTCCTCTTTGCCCTTGGCATTGACATTCCAGGAACCTATAAACAGCATGGCCTAGCGTGCACATGATAGCCAAGATAGAAGTAAGAACAAGAAGATAGAAACACCTCCTACTCTACTAGTAGCATGTTCGTAGATAGATAGATAGGCAGCGTTGACTCGACTCACCTGTCTGTAGTGCGTGAATTCATCACGTCTCGCCCGAATCTGTTTGTACATCCATGCATCCTTGATCTTTTCGGCAGCTTCCACATTGGAGATGCGTCCATCTTCGGTCTCCACATCGGTCGTCTTGGTCGTCAACATGCGATTGTCCAAATGAGCCTTCCTGGCCAGATTCCAGGCTGTACTGCTGTACTTGTGCTGCAAGGGTTGCGGTTGAGGCGTGGGAGGAGGAGCCGCCTGCATGGCATAGTGCTGTTGCTGCTGTGCTTGCTGTTGATGCGCGGGTGGTGGAAGCACCGCAAAGGTTGGAACTTGTTGGTGGCCGTCCATGATGATGATGAACAAGGATACTGTAAGATCAACGCAATTATCAGCCTACTCGGAACACAGTCTTCAGGAAAGTAGATGCTGCACTTCTGATACGGAACTCTAGCTAGTAGTAGCCAGAAGCGAGGATCAGTCAAGCTTTGCCTTGATCTACAAAACTCCGTGCATGCGGAACGGCAATCTTCGCCATGGTCACGGTCGGGTGATCGGAGCGTTGGATTCAGGCACAAGACAACGTCACCAAAGGGAATGAATTTCACAAGTCACGGTCTGTTCGAATGATTCGAATCATTCGATTCGATTCGATTCTCGATTCAATTTCGTCTCCTGGAGACGATTTGCTTTAGGGGTAATGGTACCGATGGGGGCAGAGGTTTGAATTATACCCGGCGCGCATTACTTAGAAGGCCCTGTAGAAGTCTACGTATTCGACTAG